CATTTACATACACTCCATGTTCAGAGACACACTTTATGAAACCTGCTTCGATTAGGAATCTATCTATCCTTTATTCCAAGCTCTAGGAGCTTGCTTCAAGCCATAGAGAGACTTCCTTAATCTGTAAACTTTCGACTTCTGCCCTTTGACGTTGAAACCTGGTGGTTGAGTAACATAGACTTCTTCTTCCAATGGACCATTCAAAAATGCTGATTTTACATCAAGTTGGTGCATTTTCCATCCTCTACATGAAGCTATAGAAACAATAATCCTGATTATCTCGATCCTTACAACAGGCGCATATACTTCATCGAAGTCAATACCAGGTTTTTGTAGGAAACCTCTGGCCACCAGTCTTGCCTTATAATTTGCAATCTCACCATTTGGCCTTCATTTCACCTTGTAGATCCATTTCACATCGATTGGTTTCTTGTTGGTTCTTTCGACAAGCTCCTAAGTCTTGTTCTTCTCAATGGCTCTAAGTTCTTCCTTCATGGCTTCACACCAATTCGAAATGCTTAAGGCTTCGCCCAAATCAATTGGTTCTGTTTCATCCATCATCATGGCTTCTTCAACTAAGTCACCATCTGCATCAATTGCTTGATCTGGAAACCTGTCATATCCAATCAGCCTAGTTGACTCAATTCTTGTTCTTGTGGATCTTCTTTCATTCTGCACATGTGGTTCTTCATTTCGACCAGTCGAAGTATCACTTTGTTCATTTCGACTTGTCGAAGCTTTGTTCTGTTCATCTTCTTCGAACACAGTTGTGACTGTGTTTGATTCTTGTCGAGCTGAACTTCGACTCCAATCCCACCCTTTTCTTTCATCTAAAAGAACATCTCTATTGATCACTAGTTTATCATCGATTGGTGAATACAACTTGTATGCACAGTCGAATGATAACCTATGAGCACCATGACTTCACTATGATCATCTAACTTCTTTCTCAATTGTTTAGGTACATGCCTGAAACACATTGATCCAAAAACTCTAATATGATTTACATTTGGCTTTGACCCTGTCCAAGCCTCATGCGGTATCTTTTTGACCATCTTCTTTGTTGGGCATCTATTTAGAATGTATATTGTTGTCGAAGCTGCTTCAGCCCAAAATCTCTTAGGCATATTCTTAAATTTCAACATACATCTCGTCATGTTTAGTACACTTCTATTATTTCTCTCAGTTATGCCATTATGCTGAGGCGTATAGGGTGCAATAACCCCATGCTCTATACCTTCCTCATTGCAAAATCTAGCAAATTCAGCAGAAGTATATTCACCACCACCATCAGTTCTTAACTTCTTCAATTTGCAGCCACTTTTGTTCTCAGCATGCAACTTGAACTTCTTGAACTGTGTGAATACCTCACTCTTCCTCTCAATAAGGTAAATCTACACATGTCTGGTGAATTCATCAATGAAAGTAAGGAAATACCTGTTACCTCCATTCAAATTTACTTCAAAGGGTCCACACACATCTGAATGAACCAGCTCCATTTTTGCCTTGATCTTATAGGCAAGTCACGTTTGAACGCCTTCCTTGCTTGTTTAGCTTTGCAACATTCCTCACATATCTGCTTTGGTTCCTTTACACACAACAACCCAATCACCATTCTTTTCTTATTGAGCATACATAAACTTTTGAAGTTTAGATGTCCATACATGTGATGCCATAACCAGTTCTTGTCTTCTTCTGTAGTTGAAGCAAGACATTTGTGATCTGATGTGTTGAGTTCAATCTTGAACGCTTTGTTCTCCGCCAATGGTGCTTTCATTATTAGCCTCCCATCAGCCCTATATACCTTAATCTGATTATTCTCCAACTTCATATTGAAGCCTTTTGCAAGTAATTGACCTACACTTATCAAGTTACTTTTCATCGAAGGTACATATAAAACTTCAGTGATAGTAGCCTTTCGACCATCCTTTCTGATCATCGAAATATCTACTTTACCACCTGATTTGATATGCCTTCCATCTACAAACTTTATCATTTTTTCGACTGACTCGTCTAACTTGGTAAACCAGTTTTTATTGTCAGTCATGTGGTTGCTACATCCTGAATCCAGATACCACATGTTGTTTTTTCAGTAGTCGACTGAGTGTTCACCAGTAATAACACATCATCAGAATCATTATCTCCAGCTCGAGCATATTGAGCTTCATCACTATCTTTCGACCCTGCAGCTTTCTTTCTTCGACAGTCTCTAGCATAGTGACCAAAACCTTGACAATTGTAACATTGCACCTCTTTCGTGTCAACTTTCTTTCCAGAATACTTGTTTCCCACACTTTTCAAATTAGTATTCTTGCTTGACTTCTCATCACCGATAAGATTCTTTCGCTGCTTCGACTTCTCTTTTCCAGCTTTGTTGCTGAATCTTGATTGCAATGCTTGTTCAGATGCCTTCTCTCTTTCTGAGTTTCTCTGCTGCAACCTCATTCCGTGAGCCTCCAATGAAGCTTGGAGTTTCTCCAACTTCATCTCAGATAGATTCTTGGCCTCTTCAATTGTCACAACAAAGTAATCGAAATTTGCAATTAAGGATCTCAATACCTTTTCTATTTTTTGCAGATCCGTAAGCGCTTCACCACATGCCTTCATCTGGTTTGTTATCGTTACAACTCTTGAGAAATATGCAGAAATAAATTCATCCTCTTTCATATGAAGCATCTTGTACTGCTTCCTCAGTGTCTGTAATTGCACATTCTTCAGTTTCTCATCTCCATCATACAAAGATTTCATCTTTTCCCAAGCTCCTTTTGTTGTTTCTTCTTCAATTATCTTCTCGAAAACGTCACAATCCACACACTGGTGAATCAAGAATAGTGACTTGCCATCTTTCTTCCTCTGATCTTTGTGCGTAACTTTTTGGGCTTCCGTAGCATCTACTTCCAGTTATGATATTCCATCATTCAAGATTTCTACGACATCTTGAAATCTGAAAATAACCTTCATTTGCACAACCCACCGTTGATAGTTTTCACCTTTGAAAACCGGTAGATTCGCTGGAAATTATGTTAATGTTGTTGATCCGTTTGCCATTAGATTCTCTCTGAATCGCAAACAAGCTCTTGATACCAATTTGTTGGAACAAAGGTTTCAAGAAAGATGATTTTGTGAAAACAACAAGAAGAAGAAGAGAAGAGAGAGAAATTGTCGTGAGTTTGTTGAGTGTAACTAACTTTCAACTGAATGTATTATAATTACTACTTTAATTACAAACATAATGACCCTTTATATAAGCAAAATGTGCAGGCCCAAATACACATGCTAAAAGCCCAAATAACTACATAACAAGAATTAACCAACTAACAATTAAGATAGATTAACTATCAATAATTCAATTCCAAACACAATTAATCATCACATATCCAGGATTACTCATCAAAATCTAACAATATCAAAACCATAAAAATTAGGGGTTTCAATCTAAACATGTTTCTACCTATTAATACACTATTATAGAGTCAGAACTTCACCCTTACCTTGGATTGAAGGTTGCTTTAACTCTCCGATTGCACCTAGCTTTGCCTCCTCTTTACACTTCTATGTATCTCTTCCAAAACCCTTAGTCCTCTTTTGCAAAAACCTATTCCTCTTACTGCTACTTCTACTTCTATTATTTCTAAAATAACTAATATAATAATATAACTACAATACTATTATTCTTATTTTGCCTTGTTGGGCTTAAATTTCTACACCTCTCTTACCACTACTTCTAACATTAAAATAGGCTCACATAAATAGTAATAGTATTATTCAATATTAATTAATTCAACTAAGAACGACACAACTTAAATCAACATTTCACAACTTCGAAAACTTAATCGGAAAAATATTCAAAAAATATTTAATTAAATAATTAATTAAATATTGAGCGTTAAACATGTCACTGATGTGTTGCCTAGATGTCGTCGTATCATGGAGATCGTGCAGGCGAGTATTGATGGAAGTTTGTTTCCTGATGGATCTGATGTTAGAGGTGTTATGAATGTCATCATGACGGAGGCTCAAGAGGCTCTGCTTTACAGGAGGCAACAGAGAAACGTTGAGAGGGTGACGAACTGATTTAGAGTCCGCCATATCCAGTAGTCTTTATTGTTGTATATGTATTTTTGTTATCGTTTTTTATTGTATTTGGATAATATTTTGAATTACCCCACTATATTGACTACATACACTTTTTGTATTGTTTACTATTATCTATTTATATATCTTTCTTCTGTATGTCTTTATAATATATTTTATTGTATACGTCTTTGTATTCAATATGAAATAACGTGCAAAAATACTTATTGCCAACATGTGTTTCGATTTTCAAGAGACATTTAAAAAAATAAATATGATATTTCTTTACACTATAAGAGAAAAAGAAATTCTCTCATAAAAATTCCTTGACCTTATGATCCATTAAATAGTATGGTTTTCTTTTTCTTTTTCCATTTCAATGAGAATTTTATTTTTTTCAAACGTATTTTAATGACACATGAATACAGAATGAGACGTGTACCAAATTACATATATAAATGACTACCAAACAACATGGCCTATTATTGACTTTCCATCCATTGTTTAAAGTGGAAAAAATTTCTAATTAATATTTCTTGGCACAAATATTTAATAATTTTCATTATATTTTTTGGATTCGAACTGAGTTCTAAACACATAATTGTATTAAATTTCTAAAAAAAGAATTATGCTGTTTATTATAGTTGTTCCCAACTCAAGGGATTAGTTAATTGCAAGTGATGAGAAAATGGTAATTAATTTTAGCATTGATTTAGAAGGGTAAGGGTGAGGTGTTAGGTTGGTTAATGAAGTCCAAGAAAAGAAAGTAAAAGAGCATTGAATGCATTTTACAACTCTTTGGACACACACACCACTTGCCTTCTTACTACTTCACTTCTTCCACTCCTCATTTTTGTTCTATATATTTTCTCTATTTCATCATCATTCTCTTTCAAACTCCACTTCTTCTTATACATGTTCCAACCATGAACCCTTCTCACCAATTTATAGAACATGGTATTTCTCACCAGGTACTAGTCATTTTTCCTTCTTTTTTTTGTACTCCATTTCTCAATATATTATTAATGGTTTCCTTTTTTTAGAATATAAAGAGAACTTGTTGTGCAAATGTGCTCACTCTAGCATACCAGAGTCTTGGAGTAGTCTATGGTGACCTTAGCACTTCTCCTCTCTATGTATACAAGACCTCATTCTCAGGGAAATTGAGTCTCAAAGAAGACGATGAAGAAATTCTCGGCGTGCTTTCGTTTATCTTCTGGACATTTACAGTTATCGCGCTCTTCAAATATGTTTTCATTGTCATGTCTGCTGGTGACAATGGAGAAGGGTACATACATACATACATACATACAATCTTCATTCAATATAGTTGGGGAGTTAGGATAATAATCGGTTTAAATCTTCGCTAGAATGAAATGGTGTTTACTATTTATGCAGGAGGTACTTTTGCATTGTACTCACTTCTCTGCAGACATGCGAAACTAAGCATGTTGCCGAATCAGCAACCTGCGGACCAAGATTTATCTGCTTATTCGACTAAGGATTCTGCAGATACATGGCAGTCTTCTCGGTTGAAGCTGTTCTTCGAAAAGCACCCGAGATTTCAGAAAGGACTTCTCATTTTTGTTCTCTTGGGAACGTGTATGACGATTGGCGATGGTGTGATTACTCCTGCTATATCAGGTAGTTGATCAGGTGCAGCCTCTCTCAGATTCTATTATGCTGTTTATTACTCATGATTCTTTAAATTGTAAGCCTTAGGACGTGTTTGGATAAACAGTTTAATTAAGCGCGTATTGCTCAAGCATTTATTTACCATGCTCATGTATAAACTATTTCTGTCATTTCAGTATTTTCAGCAGTTTCAGGAGTTCAAGTCAAAATCAATCAACTTCATGACAGTAAGTTAACCAAAACTTCTATATCATTACAATTATGTCTATTTGATGGACGATTTTTGAAACTCTACACGTTGATTTGCGCAGATTATGTTGCTATCGTCTCATGTATCATTTTAGTTGGCCTTTTCTCCATTCAGCATCATGGAACACATAGAGTTGCCTTCTTGTTTGCACCAGTTGTTGCAGCATGGCTTTTGTGCATCAGTGGTGTTGGTATATACAACATTTTCCGCTGGAACAGACAAGTATATCGCGCACTTTCTCCCGTTTATATGTATAGGTTTCTCAGAACCAATGGCATGGAAGGATGGTTATCATTAAGTGGAGTTGTGCTTTCAATAACAGGTACCTTTATAAGTCATTTTTCGGTTTCACTTTAGACAAAGTGGTAATAACCACTAGAAGCTCACACACAACCATGAGTACTAGGGTTTGAACCCTGGTGATACAACCGTGAGTACCAGGGTTCCAACCTCTGGTGATGACGTCCAACCTAGCAATACCAGTTTCTGCTATTTAGGCTATGTGATTAACTTTCCTATGTGATATTGTCTTAGGGGTGGAGACAATGTATGCTGACATGGGTCATTTTTCTGCACTCTCAATCAAGGTAAGTTGAGAATTTACAATAACTAACAATTTCGTTCCAACCATATTAGTCTATCATACAAAAACGAAATCGGTTTTAACAGTTGAACTTAAATCACAGATAGCTTTCACATGTTTTAGTATATCCATGCCTGATTTTGGCATACATGGGAGAAGCTGCATTTCTCTCTAAACACCATTATGACATTAAGAGAAGTTTCTACAAGGCCATACCAGGCAAGAACTTACTTTACGATTCCAAAAAAAATGTCGATATTGGTGTGTAACTAACTGTGCCACTATTTTTATGCAGAAGCTGTATTTTGGCCAGTTTTTATAGTTGCAACTTTAGCTGCTGTTTGTAGGAAGTCAAGCAGTGATTTCTGCAACTTTTTCTATCATAAGCCAGTGCTGCGCGTTGAATTGTTTTCCTCGAGTCAAGATTGTTCATACTTCTAGCAAGATATATGGACAGATTTATGTTCCGGAAATCAATTGGATACTAATGTGCCTTTGTTTAGCTGTCACAATTGGCCTAAGGGACACAAACATGATGGGCCATGCATATGGTACAATATTCTTTTTTCATTAAGTTTAAATTACACAATCGTTCTAGTCCTTAAGGTGTTGTCACGATAGTTTCTGAATGTATCAAAATTATAAAAACATGCCTTAACCGCGTCATTCAAAGACAAACTTAAGGATGCTTTTGAAATTTTGATTCATTCAGATACTATAGTGACGATGCCTAACACATTTAGGTTCAGAATGACGGTTTACCTCGCGTGTTTACTTGTGCCTCACACATTTTGCTTGTTTTGTAGGATTGGCTATCACCACAGTTATGTTTGTGACAACATGTTTGATGACACTAGTAATCATAATTGTTTGGAAACAAGGGATAATAAAAGCACTTTCATGTTTGCTTTTGTTTGGATCTATTGAACTTCTTTACATCTCAGCTTCTGCCTGCAAAATCCCCCAAGGAGGATGGATACCGATTTTACTATCGATCATTTTCATGGCCATAATGTTCACATGGAACTACGGAACAATGAAGAAACACCAATTCGATGTGGAAAACAAGGTCTCAATGAGCAAGATGCTATCCTTAGGACCATGCTTAGGCATGGTCCGTGTCCCCGGAATCGGATTCATTTTCAGTAATCTCGCTTCCGGTATCCCTGCCATTTTCGGCCATTTCATTACAAACTTACCCGCATTCCATCAGGTGTTAGTTTTTATATGTGCTAAGTCAGTTCAAGTCCCTTATGTTAGTGAAAACGAAAGACTAGTCATCAGCAGGATCGGCCCGAAGGAGTTCCACATGTTCCGTTGCATCGTCCGGTACGGTTACAAAGATATGCAACAAGAGAATTACAATTTTGAGAACAAATTGGTATCTGCAATAATACAGTTTATTGAAACAGAAGAGAATGCTGAAGAACAAACAAATGAACTGACTATAGATGATGGAAACATAAACATGGAAGAGTCGTATAAAGCCGAGTCGATGCAAATCTTAAAAGCCAAGGAATCAGGTGTTACTTATATAATTGGACATTCCTATGCAGAAGCTAAAAAATCATCTTCTATTTTGAAGAAATTTGGAATAGATATTGTTTATGCTTTTCTAAGCAAAAACTGCAGAGAACCTGATATTATGCTGGATGTAGCTCATACTTCATTGCTTGAAGTTGGTATGGCTTACCATGTTTAATTCTAACCTTATTGTGAAGTATTTGCATAGAAAAAAGAGTAGATTTAGTTTGTAAATGATGGTCATAAACATTAACAATGACTTCTAGTAGGCAATGATGAAGATTTTTTATCATTGATCTAAAGTTTCTTTGATTCTGTATCTAAGAATGTAATTCAAAAAAGTGTTTCATACAAAAAAAGTAGAATATATAGATATGTAGCTGTTGAGATATGGTTGTAATCTTTAAAATGTTCAGTTTATATTTACTGAGGAAAGGAAGTGAACAAGCTATTCAACACAAACATTATTTTCAAGGATACTCTTTCTTTTATGAAAATTTCATATGATTTTGTTATATAAGAATTGTGTCTGTGCTGAAATTATTGATACCTTACTAAGGATTATGAAACCAGTAGCTGACATTATAAAAACTATAGTACAAATTAAACACTAAACTAAGAAAAGATATACAGTTAGTGAACACAAAACGATTTTTGAATTTATTAGTCTATTTTAGAAAAGCTATAAAAAAGAATTAGAAATTAATTCCTAGTTCAAACACCCCCCCCCCCCCCCCCCCCCCCCCCCCCCTTCAAAATGTGTATGGGTTGATGTTAAACATAGACAACAAAATATGTACAGGCGGGTTCTTGCCCAAACCGGCCTCTTGTTTTTTCAAGAAAACGTATTTTTATTGATTCTGTTAAGGTTTGGATTTCCCTCGATTTTAAAAGATAGAGATAAAACAAATAATAAGGACAATGGTATCTACCTGAATATTATCTGAAATCTGATCTATTTTAAGAATATTGTTGATAATTTATAATATTAATTGTTTAGTTAATATTGATATTTTGATTTATATTTTAGGGTTAAATATATATTACTCCCCGTCATTATAACGAGTTTTGATTCACCCCTATTAAATTTTTTTGTGATATCTCCCCTACCAAATTCAAATTCCATCTTTAAAAACCATATTGTTACTATTGCGCTGGTGGCTTTTTATGGCTGGCTGACTAGATTAAATAATACCACCTAATATTATAATTTAAAATTAAAATTAGAAAAAAAAATATTCTTTTGCTGCTTTCTTCTTGATCTTCAACCTAGGGCTTTTGTTCTTATTCTTCCATCCTTCCCTTCGCGTTTTCGTTTTTAGTCTTCCATTTTTCCGAATTCAATATTCTTCTTCTTCCTAGTACAACTTTGCGTGTAAGGTAACATGGTTGGGAGAAACTCAGTTGGAAGCAGCAACCCACCTTTCGTTGGATTTTTCAGGTTTACTCAAGTGTGGATGCGATCATGCAATGAAGATGCGGGTCTCCAACACAGTTCAAAATCGTAATAAAAAATTCTGGAAATGTTGCAACGCATGGGTAAGCATATTGTTTTTGTAAATGTTGTTTAACATCAAAAAGTGATCTTTAAGATGTTAACATCTGTGTAAATGTTGTTTGTGTTTGTAGAATGAGAATAGTTGTGACATGTTTTTGTAAGATGATAAAATTGGAGACTCTATGAAAGGGAATTGTAATATTCATGCATGTTGCCAAAAGTGTGAAATGACAGATGTGAAATTAGAAACCCCCATGGAGAAGTTAGAAAAAGAAAAGATGAAGGTTGCAGTTCAGAGGAAGATAAATTTCAATCTGAAGATGGCATTTGTGATCTCTTAGTTGATTTTTGCAATGTTGTACAAGTTAATGTAATTTTATGTGGTTTAATGCATTTGAAAGTTATGTAGTGTAAACTCTTGCAATTTTCATATTGTTGCTAATTTTTTGTAGTTTGATGTATTTGCAACTTTTTTGTATTAATGAAATGTTTAACTTTTTTGTCAATCAATGATTGTTATATAAGGTTTTGATATGATTAACTCATAAGATGATGATAAAATGACACCAAAAATATGCATTAGTCATTACAAAATGGAACTAATAGTGTATATTACAGCCATTACAAAATGGCACTAATAGTGTACATTACAGTCATTACAAAATGACTCACAATGAGTGCATAAGTCATTACAAAATATCATACATAATATGCACTACTTCTTGGATTTTTTCTTTGGAGATTTCTTTCTATCCTTCTTTGCATTTTGAGATCAATTTCCTTCTTGTGTCAGAATACCTTCTTCTTCTTCAGACAAATACATTGGTTGGTTTGGGTTTGAACCAGGTCATATGATTGGTTTTTGAAACCACTTCAGTTTAATTCTCTCACTTGACTTCTTTCTCACTGGTCTGGCTTGTTGTTTAACTTCAGCCTTGCCTTTCATTTTGGTACTTGGTGAGTTAATGCTAGTTGTTATTTGCATAGTTTGGTTTAATGTGTTGATCTCATGTATGGTTGATTATCCCATCATAAATATCCCCAAATAATCCTGTATCTGGTGTGATAGCATCATGTTGACCTGCATCATATTGACCTACATCATGTTGATCTGCATCATGTTGACCTCCATCAGTTGGTTGGTTTTGTTGAGCACAACCATCATGTTGACTTGCACCAGTTAATTGATTTGGTTGATTAGAATTCACTTTAATGGTTGCACTTGTACCTGCATCAGACATCACCTTTTTCTACAAATAATAATCCAAATTACATATAATATTAGCAAGTATAGACAATACCTTTCTGAACAAACAACAATAACTTTCTCAACAAACAAAAATACTAAATAGACAAATAAGAATACCTTTCTTTTCAAGGCATTTGGGTCTTGTTTCTTGCTCTTGCATGACTGAACATTGTGTCTAAGCTTATCACACTTATTACACCTATAAGATACACCAGGCAATCTTCTTCTAACACCTTCCCCACCAGACTCCCTAATTCTTAATTTTCTTGGTCTGTCAGGACCTTTTTTATACCTAGGAGGTAGAAAATCTTCACCTTCAACTTCATGCCACATTTTTTGTCCATTAATGAGACTCATAGAAATTCCATAACAAAGAGCATATTTTTCCCTGGAGTAACATTCATCAACAAACATTTATGGATTTTGTTGCCTAAAACCTAATGCTGCAACAACATTCCTACATGGAATACCAGCTAACTCCCAGAAATTACACGTGCAAGACCTTTTGGCAATGTCAAATATAAATCCATGTTTGTTATAAGAATGAGTGACCTGAAATTTTTAATCCATATCCCAAGTTGGCAACCAATGACCATTCATAGCCACCTCAATACCTAATCTCTTTCTAGGAATTGGCATAACCTTGTGTGGCCACTTTTCAAGTTTCATGGAAGAAGTAATGCATCTATTCATCAAGTATTTTCTAATCCATTCACACATGGTTAGTATAGGTTTATCCCTAGCTACTAAAATGGTGGAATTGAAAGACTCAACAATATTGTTCATCAGTACATCACATTTAGGGTAAAAACTAAATGCATGTTAGAACTAGTTAACAACCCAGCTACTATTGGACCATCACTAATGGGAATAGAGACATCAATTCCATCGAATCCATCTACAATAGAAGTGGTTCTTTCATCCTCACTGTCATTCAACCCTTCAATTTCCTCTTCATCACTTCCATCTAACTCGACCATTTCATTCACACACCTAGGACTCATAACAGTGACTTTTATACCCTTGACATCTTGTTCCACAAACATTTCCCCCATCTACTTGCATCGCACAAATATATACAGCGAAATCATAAGCATCATCATTATTCCTAATCTGGAAAAAGTTTTCATCTATGTCAAGGATTTTGGTCCACGTTCTGTATGTCCCTTCTAAGTAACCCCACTCATTAACCAAATTATGAATGATAACCATTGACAAATTATCAATGTGTTGACCAGAAACTATGGTTTAAATACCACCCATGTATATCGTTTCACCATCAATCAACCTTACTGTGATATGGTGGGAGAACTGACTTGAGGTTTTGTGTTTTGTGTTTGCAAATGTAACGGTTAGGAAGAGTCGCCACCGACTTTTCTTTTATCCAAAAGGAAAGGTGAAAAAGCACATGAAAGACCTTTGAGATGTTTTCTTGAGTTCGGGGGGTAGATTATGAAAAGGGAAGGTGCTAGCACCCTTTTAATCTATGGTTTTCCATGGGCTCTTAGTTACTTGCTTAGATCACTTGCTTTGTTTTGTTTGAAATGGTGTTTGGTGTGATTTTGAAAGTATTTTGTAAAAGAGGTCATTTGTTTAGGCAATCTTTGTAATGATTATCGTTCGTAAGAATGTATACAAAGATGTTTGTCTTTTGAAAATGTTTTCAATTGTTTGTAAGATGTTTTGAAATGTGTGTGTTTATTTTGAAAATAGCAAGGATTGTTGTTTGAAATAGAGCAAGTAACTTAGAATCTATCTACCTACTCAAATGTCTTTCTTGTGCATTTTTTATTCCTTTGACATTGTTGACTTACCATTGATTTGGTAAGCAACCCTATCTTTGGATGTAAACGGGATGGGCGTGGGTCATCGTATAACCATGATAGCAATGTTGCCAAGTATCTTAGCATTTTTGAGGGACCAAGATCATTTTGTTTAGGCAAATTTTTGAATAGCGTCATCGAGGGACTATGATCTTATACTTGTTTTGTTTTTCCAAGATACTTCGCATGCGTAACATGGCCATTTTATTTTAGGAAACCAAGTGGGAGAAACCCTAAGGGTGCTTGTGTGCAAAATGTATCATTTTTATGCTTTTGATTTTGTCTTGTATTTAAGGTTTTCTATTTTGCTTTGTTTTGTTCTTGTCATGCAAACCCTAATTACTAATCATGGCATTTAAAGCGATAAATTGCGTAATGTAAATATACTAAGCTATTACAATAATTTTTATGGGAGGGGGGAATACAAATTTGAATGGGGATTTGCACAAATATACAGCTAAATATATTATTACAACCAAATCGAATATGCGCGAATTAAATAACTATAATACAAATATTTAATATATAATGCAATATGTATGTAAAGAAAATATTTTTTATGTCTTGTTTCTGTATAAAATAATATTTAACTTAAACCTAAAAAATAA